GTGATCACATTGAACTGTGGCAGCCATTATGATTATTGTTACTATTTATGAATAACATTATTTATGCTAGAACATGTGCGTGGTAAAAGGCGTGCATGCCGTGCCGCTTGACTTCCCCACCGCCGTCCTCTTCCCTCCCCTCCTGCCTTTCAGCGAGATGTGTCAGGCATTTACTCTGAGCTCATGCTGTCTCACTGTTGAAGATACAGCCTTGAGCCAAGCAGACAAGATTTCTTGCCCTCCTGGAATGTCCTACATTGGGGCCCGAGGGTGGGTAAAGTGCTCTGAAGAAGGCAGCCTAGATCTGGGACAACTGGGGTGGCGTAGGATGACATTTCCAAAGACTGGTCAGGGAGGGGCTCTTGGCTAAGGTGAGGGTTGGAACGAAGGCCCAAGTCCAGGGAGCAGCTAGGAGGACACCTGGGGCCCACGCAGCAGTCCACACCAACAGCTGCAAGGTGGGTGTGGCTCTGCCAGCATCAGGATCCCAGCTGCTGGGGGACCCGAGGGAGCTCAGGTCCTAGGGTGACAGGAAGGAGTGGGACTGTGAGAGGACTGATGGTCCTCTTAGTGGGAGGAAAAGCCACAGTGAGGTGACACACATTTACGTGAGCTTAGTGTTCCTCCTGGAGGGACAGTTTCCCACATCTGGCTCAGGGGCCACTGTCCCCGGAACCCAGACGTCCTTAAACCTGAGACAGAAAGTGAGCTTCTATTATGGGTAAGGACCCATCAGGGCCAACTTGGATGGGGACTCCAGAGTCTTTTTCTTGCCCCCTGCTGAGGGATACCCCAGAAGCTCAGAGAGGGCGTCCTAGCCTAGGGCCTCTGGTGGGACTTGGCAGCCTCCCATGGGTGCCTGGGATAACTGGGCCACTGTGAAGTACCACTGGGTCTGAGTGCCGAGCCCCACCTTCTGTGAGGCTTTGGGTCAAGGGGCTCCTATTTCCAGAGCAGTATGCTTCCTTCCCAGAGCCAAAGGACAGTGACAGCCCTCTCTTTGGGAAGCAGTCAGGGCTTCTAGAAAGTTCTGCACTTGAACTGATCAGATTAGGGTTCTTCCAGGAATCCAGTGGGCAGGTCAGCAAGACTAACACCTGTTTAGAGAAGAGAACTCGAAGCCTTACAGGAATGAGATTATTGGCCCAGACCCAGCCAGAAAAGCTGCACCTGGACATGGGTTTCTTTCTCTTGTGAATTTGGGCCAGTGGGTGTAGGTACCGCTCCCCACCAGTCCTGGCTGGAGCCGCACAGTCCCTGCTGGGTCCTCCACAAAGCTGGAAGGTGTGTTTGCTTTCTGTCCCTGTGACAATATACCTGAAGAAATCGGCATAAAGGAGCAAGGGCTTGCTTTGGCTACTGGTTTCACAAGGGTCAGGCCATGGACAGCACCTGGGCTGTTTTCTGGATTATAGAGTGACAGAAGAGTGCATGTTTTGGGGAAAAGCTGCGACTCAGCTCAGGGTGGCCAGGAAAAGGAGGAGGAGGAGGAGGAGTGCGGGAAGGGGCTGGAGGTAAGGCACAGTCTTTAAGAGTGCGCCCCTGATGACCTACTCTCCTTAAATACGCCCCACCTCTGCTTCTCAGTAGTCCGTTAAGCTCTGAATCTATGAATGGATTCATCCATCCATGAGGTTGGAGCTCTCAGGAGCCCTTCACGTCCCAAAGGCCCCAGCTCTGAATTGCTGTTGCCCCAGGGACCAGTTCCAAGCCACAGGGCAGAGCAGTGGCCCTGACAGCGACTCTTCTTGCCTTCCACTCTGTAGGTGCTGGCCTTGGGCTCCCTGTGGGCCCAGACGTGGACGCTGTACAGCTTTACCTGGGAGAGGCATCCATCCCAGCAGGGGTGCGTGCTTCTCCCACTTTGCACAGAGCACCTGGCTCGTCAGCACCCAGAGACCTAAGCCCTGGTGGGCTCCATGCCTCCACAAGGCTCTGAGCCACCTGCTTTTGGCTACCCAATATACAGTAAGATGGGGTTAATTCCACGGGGATTATTCTAAGGTTTCCATAAGATAATGCTCAGACAATGCTTCAGTCGTAGTTCTGGCTTGATAAATGGTGGCTGTCACTATTCCAACAGGCTCTGCCTTGGTCACATTTCCCTCCTGTGTGTCCCCCAGCAAGGGCACTTACCCCTTGTAGGCCTCTGCCCCCACTTTCTCTGATGTGTGGGCTTATAAAATCTGCTGGGGGCTGCTCAGGACAGAGCAGGGTCAGAGGTGGAGAGGGGGTGCCTTCCTCCAGGTGAGGGGTCCTGGACTGGCCAGGCAGTAGGTGATGGGCTCTGTGCAGCTCCTGTTCTGCTCCCCCCCACACCGCCCCACCTCCTCCACAGGCTAATTACACTGCCAACATCTAGTGTAAGCAAATAATAACAAGGACATTATCTCCTTTTACTCTGTTTTTCTTTGCCTATCATAAAGTAATTAAAATAATGAATGCCTTATAAAACAATAGGTAAGAAGGCTGGCAAAATAGCACAATCTGCCATGTTCCTCTTGTGCTGTGAATTATGGTGCACTAAAACCAGGGGGCTGCAGGGCACTCCTGCCTCCCAATGTTGCCTGTGCTCGTTTCTCTCCTCTCGGGGCTACCAGGTGGACCCTGACCCTGCAGGAGCAGGGAGCTCCTTGTCCAGGTCCCCTGGTGCAGCTGGGGACCAGTTCAGAAGTCTTCCTGGCAGGCATTACTAAGAAGGATGCAGGAGCCTTTGGTTTGGTGGTTCTGCTTGCCCCAGTCTTCCCCAAATGTCCACTTCTAGAAGAAGCTGGTGGTCCTGGGAGAAGGGAAGGGCCAAGAGAGTGCTTGGAGTTAAGATCTATGTTTATCTCAGGGCTCCCAGAGCTGAGAATCAGGTTCAGCATCTGAAGGTGTCCCATGTGGTGCCCAGGTCTGCAGACGGGCAGTGTCCAGGCACCGAGGAGAGCTGCAGGGCCTGAGGTGGGCCCTGCTTACTCTTGGGAGCACCTCAGAGGAGGCAGTGTTGTCTCCATCTTGTTGGGAGCCTCCCATAGTGGCAGGGGGATAGATTTTTCCTGGGCACCTGCTGGTTTGGTTACCATGATTCCCCTTGGATTGGAACCTCTACGTCCCACTGGAGACTCGCCTGTTCCGAGTCCCAGGCAGCTGACATGCTGGGATCAGGACAGGTCCTAATAAGTTAGTGAAACCGGCTGGCTTGCCCTAGCTTTGGCAGCAGGTGACATGCCTCTCCACAGGAGGCCCTGTGATGCCTACCCTGTGGCTTCCCTTCCCAGAATGCACTGGGTTGTTGTAGCTGCGCGGGCTGAGCAAACTTGGGAAGAAAGCCTTCACATCCTCGCTACCGGCGGCGCAGCTTCTCTTGTCCTCAGCCTCCCCAGGGCAGGGTGGCTGGAGGGAGAGGAGCAGGCATCAGGAGCAGCGCCCTGCCTGCCCCCACCCACCCCAAGGCCTGACCCAGATGTGTGTTGCAAACCCTGGCCTCCTGTACCCCAGCATCTTCCCCGTTCCACCCTCACCCACTGTACTCCAAACCTCTCACCTCCATCTTTGACTTCTCCACTCCAAGGCATGACCATCCCCAGCCAGGGTTTGCTTTGGAAGTGAATTCTTGGATTTCAAATGATGAACCCAATTTGCTGCTGTCTTTTCACCCATCTTCACCTGCAGTAAACATGAGGCCAGTTATTTTACATCTAAGGAAATAATGAATAAGCTTTCAGTAGAAGTATGCGCCAGGCATTGTTTGGGGCATTCTTGCTCTAAATTGTTGTTTGTCTGAAAGTCAAATTTGTGCCCTTTGTAGCCACTTACCAATGTGGATTGAGCCAGTTCTGTGTGTGTGTGGGGGGCAGGCTCTGTTGGCTGTGGCGGTAGAGGAGTCAATGAAATGGACTCATTTAAGGGATTCCAGAGTACCTTAGAAGTTTGAAGTTCTGTGGAAGAAATACAGCAGAGCTGGTGAGATAGCTCAGCAGTGTAAAGCGCCTGCTTAGGCAAGTGCAGGGACAGCAGTTCAATCCCAGCTCCACATGCTGTGCCAGCCCTGCCCCCAGGGTGGGCTGAGCCAGCCACAGAAAACAAATAAACAACCCAGAAAAAACACTGTTGGAAGGCAAGCACTGCAGTTGTAAAAGGGAAGCCAGGGAGATTTGCATTAAAATGGTGAAAGACCTAAGGGCACCTGGGGTGGGGGCACAGAGTTACACTTCAGGAGCCTGTATAGGGTTGGGTTACCTAAGAGACTTGCCCTGTTTTCCTCAAGCGGACTTTAATCTACAAAGGGAAATTTAGGGGCCGGGGAGATGGCTCAGTGGAATAAGCGCTTCCCTGGCAAGCACCTTCCGTCCCTAAGAAGACCTGCTGTGGGTTTCAGGCATGGGTCCAGGCATTCCGACAAGGTCTGCTGTGCTCCAAGAAGACCTGCTGTGGGTTTCAGGCACGGGTCCAGGCATTCCGACAAGGTCTGCTGTGCTCCGTCACTTTTTTCCTCTGTGGTGGGTGGGTTTCTTCTCTGAGAAGAATTACTTGCTCCTTCCAACAAATGCTTCCGGCTTGGGTCCTATTGGGTCAGTGGGGGTCATGTGATAATCCCTGGCCCAGTCTTTGCCAAGGGATAGATGAGATTGATTAATTGACCAGTTTCTGTTGTTGGAAACAACATGGGACTGTCACTTACCCTTCCTAACCACTTGAGGGGCTCTTCCTTTAAAATGGACAGAAAATGATATCATCCATCTTTTTTGTTTTGGCGGAACCAGGGATTGAACTCAGGCCCTTGTGCTTGCCAGGCAAGCACTTATTCTACTGAGCTATCTCCTCAGCCCTGATAGCATCCATCTTTAAGAAATTAACAAAAATGTCCAAGCCATAGCCCACTACTGTCCTTCCCCTTACCTTTCAGCTTGTTTCCACCTCCACTGGGGACCTCTGTGGGCTTGGATCCTGCATGGGTAGGTGTGTTGTTTAAATGCAGTTGTGCCCCAGGTCTCAACTCTGGTCTTCTCTGTTGCCAGGAGGCCCAGAAGATTAACAATGGCTCGAGCCAGGCAGATGGCACTCTCAAGCCAGTGGACGAGAAGGAGGAGGCGGTGGCCGCCGAGGTCGGCTGGATGACCTCCGTGAAGGACTGGGCAGGTGTGATGATATCTGCCCAGACGCTGACTGGCAGAGTCCTGGTGAGTCTCCGGCCCCTTGAGTGCATGCACAGGCGTGTGTGTGTGTGTCCAGTGGCTTCCCATGGGGTGTGCGGCTCTGAGTCTTTAGGCCGCTGATGGAGCAGGGCTCAGCAGCAAGTACTGTGTCTGGTCCTCGCGCAGCGCAGGGGTGTTTGGGACAGATCTAAGCTGGCCGTCAGAGATACAGGGCGACTGATGTGAACACATGCACGCACGCATACAGGACAGAGCTGGATCCCTATGGAAGCACGTGCTAGAACCTGGCGAGGGCCTCACAGCCTGGGGACCCAGGCATTCTCCGTGTCTATGTTTGGTGACATTCTGGGAGTATCACTGCTGTCCTCTGGTGGCTCGGTGGGGGGCCTTCTCTGGGCAGCATTGTGTCTGCACTGTGTGAGCCCCAGGCCTGCCTTGGTGGGGGCTCCTTGTCACACTGGTGCTGAAGCCATCAGCAGCATCCACAGCTGCAGGGCCCTGGGTCCAAGCATTGTTCCGGTGCCTTTTTTTTGTGCTGAGGTGTCACCTGGCCATCTGCAGCTTAGGCTCATGCTATCTCTTTTGGCTGGATTTTGTTCTTCTCTCTGATATGTCTGAACAGAGTATGGCTTCACTGGATGCCCTCTGAGCCCCTGGTTTGGGACAGGAACCATGGGTGGGACAGGCCTGGGCCTGAGCAGTGCCTGGACAGACATGCTTTTTTGGTGCAAAGACTGGTGCAGTCTTGGGTACATGGGATCCTGGTCACAGCTGCCATAGAGGGCAACCCCCGTGCCCCATTGCAACCTGGCCCACTGCTTCCCTGAGTGCTTGGACCTGGGCGCTTGCTGTGAAGGAAGATGCATCGGGGTGACTTCTCATTGAGACTCTGGAAGCTCTTTTGTATGAGCTGCCCTTCCTTGCCGGCAGCAAGGGCCTGGCAGGCATCCCCTGGTTCTTCCATGAGCAGTGAGCTCTTAATGGCTGGGTGGATCAGGGATCAGGCAGAGGCCCTTGAAAATAGGTATTATTACCTCGACAGTTCTTGACATGGACTCGGTGAGGAGGTGATTGTAGAAGGAGGGGGGTGGTGAAAATGTCACATAGGTGAGTCCTTGCTGGGGAGAATTCTGTGTGATGTTTGGCGTCCACATCTCATAGTGCCTGGGGGACTGAGTAAGGCCCTGCTTGGCCAAGCAGTGATGGAGGTCAGGGTACTGTCCAGGGGGATGCGACCCTGCTAACTGAGGGGCCCATTAGGCAACGAAGCCATGGTGGTTGTCTGCTAAGGGCAAAATAGAAGAGAAATGGAAAGCTGGAGTTTTGGAGGAGGAGAGAAAACCAGTGAGGTCGCTTGCTGCATGGTGGAAAGCAGTGGGGCCGTCTGGTCTTGCGGCATCCAGGAGAGACTGTGCCCAGGGAGGATTGCAGGTGGCTTGCTGGGCTGTGCTGTGTGACTACCTCTACCCCTCTTCCCTTTTGATTCCTTGGTAAAGTCTCCTGGCTCTTCTGGGCTTGAGCGTCAGCAGAGCCTGCATGTGGGTGTCGGGAATGGAGGTGATGTGCCCTGCCCACGGTGGTCACCATAGACACCTCACAGCAGACAGCTTGGTTGCCCAGATGTGACACTTCACCATGTGGCTGCCGTAGCCAGCTCTAATTACCTTCACCCACATGAGCCAGGAGGTACTGAGCACCAGCTCTAGGCTGTGCGTTCTTTACAGTGCTGAGGAAAAGGTCGATGGAGTGTGGTTTGAGGGTCTCCTATATGGCTGTTCTGGAAGGCATGCGTGGGGCCTGTATGTGGGGAAGACACCAGTGTGTCCATTGTGACACGGGCAGTGCGGGGGTGGGGAGGATTGATTCCCAGGTGAACAGAGCATGTTCTTAATGGTCCAAAGGACACCAACATATAGAAACGTGAGACCTTGAAGCTTGAAGGCAAGAGTGGGCCTGCTTGGTGGGCTAGAAGCTGCGCATGTCTGGTAGTGGCTAAAGCTTGTTAGTTGTGGATTGGAAGGTTAGTTGGGATCTTGAGGGTCGAAAGAAGAGCTCCTTCCTGGGTAAGCAAGCAGCCGGGTGGGGAGAGAGGACTGTGGCACACTGTCAGAGTGGAGCCATCCAAAAACCTAGGGTCACAGACACAAAGATGTCTGAGAACAGGATCAGTGAGGAGAGAGTTAGAGAGAGGCTGCTGGGGTGCAAGGCCAGGCTGGAGAATTTGGGCTGAGTGTGCAGGACAATGAGATTTGGGAGTGAGGTGCCCTGGCTGGGTGTGACACAGAAGGACCTGGTGGAGGAGTGAAGGCTTCACAAGGTGGGCAGGAGCTTGGAGGTCCTGGGACAGGCGCATGATGGCCTCAGTGACAATCTGAGGAAGCGTGGTTGCTGGGACCATGTAGACCAAGGCTTGAAGTGACACCAGGTGGTGGAGGTGGGTAGCTGGCTGTGGATACTCCTGTGCAGAAAGGATCCACACAATCAGGCCTGCCCCCTAGCCACCTCGTCCCTGCCTCTCCACATCTCAGGCACCAGGCATACCCCAGCCCATACACAGCACACTTGGTGTGAAGAGTGGTGTTCCTGTCTCAGTGGTTGCTCCACACTGCCTGTACCCTGTTGTGCTGCAGGGCTTCCCCACAAGGAAGCGAGCCAGTCTCATCCGGGAACCCCTCTTCTATAGATGAGAGAGCCAAAGCACAGCAAGAGCCATGACTTACCAAACAGCATCAGCTTTAAGTGACAGGACCAACTCCGAGTGCACAGACTCTATACCCCCATCCCAGTGTTTATTTTATGTCACCGTCTCCTAGTTGGAGACCGGGCCTCTTCTTTTGCAAGCCACCAGCTGTTTCTTTGAGACCTTCGTACGTTACCACAACGGAGCTGTGTGGGTGCTGTGGCCTCTATGGCTGTCTCTCTTAACCTTTGGGTGTGGAAGCAGCTTATCAGGGAGGCTGGGATTGCCAAGGTTCCTCCAAGAAATCCTTCCAGGGGCTCTGGGCACCCCTTAGATGACACTGGTGGCCCTTCTGCACAGGGACCAGGGTTTCTGCTTGCTGGATGGTGCCTCAGGGAAGGGCCATTCTCTGCACGTGGAACAGGTTTTCCACTGAGCTCCAGTGCACGGCCAAGAACCCAAAGCTGTGTTTGCCTTGAGCTGTCCAAATGTTTATTCCTGCAACAATGGGACCAGAGCAGGCCAAGGCACCTGGCTCTTCAGAGTTTCCCTTTTCAATTTTTAATCTGTTTTCCTTGATTCATGCTCAGGAGCTCAGCCTCCACATGTGGGCTCCTTTCTCACCTGTCTAACTGTCACAAGCCAGAGTCTGGATGCCGAGACACGTGGGTAAGGCCCAGCTCAGGAACGATTTGCCATGACGGGCCCAGAATAACTGCAGGATCTCAGGCAGGCACGGCGTTCATATGATCCGTGTGGACTTTTCACCTGTGCTGGCCCTGGTCTACGCATGGGGTGTACAGCAGCAAGCAGCAGCCTTCCAGAGTGTGAATTATTTATATCACAGAACTAGATAGCGAGCTATAGAGCTCTATTTAAAAAATGACGAATGATAATCACCACTCGCCAGGTCTTTTTATAGTCAACACCTGGAGCCTCACCACCAGCGCGATGGAATTCCTTGACCCAGTGGCTGCAGGCCTCAGATTAGCCTCTTTGCTTTCTCTATTCCTGACGCAAAGATAGCAACAGTGGGTGGACCAGGCTGAGGGATTCTGTGTCAAAGCTAGCACCAGGCTGTCAATGGCTATTGCTTCCTGTCTTTCTAAGAAAGAATATATATGTATATTCTGATTGTAAAACCAGCTGGCCTTCTCTGTCTGCCTGTTCTATACCCATGGATTCAACCAAGTATGTATCACGACAGCTGGGTGCAAGGGGGAAATCAAATCTGTAATGTTCATGTATAGACTTGTTTTCTTATTTTTTTTCCCTTGATGATATAGTATAACAACTATTTGCATGTCATTTGCATTGTGTTAGTGTTACTTGTAATCTAGGGAAGATAGAAAGCACAGGAGAGGATGTGGGTAGTTTATGTGCAAGTGCTGTGCCGTTTGTCTAACAGAATTGAGCAGCCCTAGATTTTGGTATCAACACAGAGTCCTAGTGCCAATCTCATACAAAACTCGATGGACAACTGGACAGTAGTAGGCACTTTCTTTAGAATTCTGAAACACATGGGAAGAACTGCTGATAAGTAACATCTTGGAACATAGAGTTGGCCCTCCCTGAAGGACACTTCAGCATAGCAGAAGTGTCATCAAGATGTTGTCCCCACCTGTTTTTTTTTTTGGTTTTTTTGTTTTGGTACCGGGGATTGAACTCAGGACCCTGTGCTTGCCAGGCAAGTGCTTATTCTACTGAGCTGTCTCCTCAGCTCCCCCACCTGCTTGTTGTCATTGATGATTTTGTTTGCTACGTCTCACAGCATCCACTTTCTGGATGCACCCACGGGACACACGGTTTTGCAACAAAGATAGCTGAGGAGTAGGAAATGGATTGTGTCTCTCCTGGGGTGGCTGCTGTGAGCCGGGTTGGTGGCCCATGGAAAGCGCATAGCATCTCAGTGTTTTATGTTCCGCCTGCCCCCATCTCTCCTGGCTTTCTTTTCTGCATCACTTCTTTCATTTTCCTGTTGCCCCAATTTCTTTGCCTTCCTATTTGAAATTTACATGTATGTGCTTGTGTGATCCATGCACTTTCATGAATCAAATTGAAGCTTTATAAGAACTAGGTGATATGTATACGGAGGGCAAGAAACACGTGCGCAGGCTTTTGTACCATTTCATGGGAGTCTGCAGAATCGTAAGCCAGAAGTCAAAGGCGGTACATCAGGGCAGGGTCTGCAAATTTTTCTGTAGTGAACATTTCAGGCTTTGTGGGCCACATGGGCCTCTCATGGCTGTGCAACTTTGCCATCCTAGTTTAGAGGTAGCCGTAAACAGCCATGGTGCATTGTGTCCTAATAAAACTTAATTTGTAGATGAAGGCGGTGGGCCAG